CCCCGGAATGAATGCGGATCCCTGCTCCACCTCCACTCTGTCCGCTCTTCCTACCTGAGGCACCCGACGCAGCCAGGAGGATCCTGAGCCTACTTTCACAGCAGTGAAGCGGTTCTTTGGAACGCAGCCACCTTCCTTCCCAGCAGTTCAAAACCCCTGACAATTAAATTCAACGCACATTTGTTGCACAAACTTTAAATCAGGCCCTGGACCAGAACCAGGGAGTGTAGAGGCTGGCCTGCCCAGCAGGGGAGAATTGAGGCAGAGGGTGGGATGGCACAGGTGGTGAAAGTGAGAGCAGGGACCCCACATCACTTTCTCAGGAAAGCCTTCCTTCACCCCCACCCCAACCCCCGTCCTCACCAGGTAGGCTCCCCAGGTACATGCTCTCTCTACCTCTCTTTTCTTCATTATACTTAGGTAAGTTAGTGTAATCATTTGATTAACTTTTCTGCCCTTGTCCAGACTGAAAACCCCATTCAGGTAGAAATCTCTGGTTCACAGCTGAGCACTCAGCCCTCAGCACCCAGCGCCAGTAACACAGTAAGTGGGTGGGTGGACGGATGAGTAGTTGAATGAGCACAGGTGATGTGTGGGTGCCCAGAGGAATTTTCTCTCTGGGAAGGATTGGAAGGGCTTCCCAGTGGAGTTGGCATTCAGGCTGGATCCTGGAGGATTGAAGTGGGTTTTGAGAAGGCCCAGGTTCACGTGAGTTTAGTAATAGGTGTTGTGCCTGCCTCCCCAACACTGCTCTCTTCTTGCTAGATACCCTGGTTTTATTTCAGTAACCTCACCTCCCTCACTTAGCCACAGACATTGGGGAAAGCTCATTCCATACCCACAGGGTGTATGTGTGTGTGTGTGTGTAGGGGGAGGTATGTGGTTTAGGCTGAAATGAATCAGTGTATTGCCACCCCCTGACCATAGTTTAAGAAAGGGAAACATGACCAAGGAAGGCTTTCTGGGAAACAAGCTTTCTTACTCTTCTAAAATGGCCCGTAGAAGGGAGGAAGGAAGGAAGGAACTCTTTTCTCCCTTCTCCTACTCCTACATCCCCTCCCAGGCTGAAACAAAGAATCATGTAGGCCCAGAAGTGGAAGGGGTTGGGGTGGAGAAAGGAGATCTGTCTTGGGATGGCAGAATGGAGAACGCAAGTCCACAAGGGTCTTATTGAGCTTCTAGATCAAACCACCTCCTCAGCCTGTTCCCCTGAGGACTTTCCAGTTATATGACCAATGAGTCCGCTTTATTGTTTAAGTGGGTTTGAGTGAGGCTGCTTTGAACCTAGAGCACCCTAACCGGTAACAGTTATCCAATGAGCTGCAAACCACCTCTTCTTGCCTCACCCAATTTCAGGCTTTCTCTGGTGGTTCTCAAACTCAGGGTATTTGGGGGTTGCTTGAAGCACTTGTGAAGACCAGACACTCTTTGCTGAAGGAGATCCCTTTGGTGGGCGTGCTGCTGAGGGTCTTCGTGTAACAATTCTTCTATTTTTCCCCTTCATTAACTCCCAGTGTCCTCATCAGGGGCATTGGAGTCCTGAATACGATATGTGTGCCTTTTCAGAATCTGGCAGCATGGGGAGGGGAAGAGATGTGCCCTCCCTCTTCAACATGCAGAACACAGAAGAGAAGCCCACGCTGGAGGCCCCAGGGGTGGAGCTGACAAGACACGACCTGGTATTTATTGATGTAATCATTGTTTATTATTTAATCATTTATTTAAATAATGTATTATTTGATGAGTATTAAACATTTTATCTAAACCTTACAAGGCAGCAGCGTATGGGTGACAAATGCACAATGCAGATTCAATCTGGAAAAACTCAGAGACTCGGACAAAAGGCTTTATGGAAGCTGGGATTTAAGTTGAGCAATGGTAACGATACTACTAACCCTTTACATGTATGTAGCATATTTATTTTTCTTGAGATAAGTCGCATGCCATAAAGTTCACCAGCAACTTTTATTTTCTCCGCAAGGTTGTCATGACCTCCCAAAGAAACTCTGTAACCATTAGCAGCTACTACCCATTCCCTCACCCAAGTCCCCTGGAAACCACGGATCTACTTTCAGTCTGTACAGATTTGCCTATTCTGAACATTGGAATCAGACAAGAGATGGCCTTTTGCGTCTGGCTTCTATCACCTTGTATCCAAGGTTCATCCATATTGTAGCAAGGATCAGTATTTCATTCCTTTTTATTGCTAAATAACATTTCGCTGCATGGATATACCGCGTTTTGTTTATCTACTCATCAGGTGAGATATATTTGCTTGTTTCTACTTTTTGACTATTATGAATGATGCTGCTATGAACATTTGCATATAAGTTTTTGTGTGAACGTATGTTTTCAATTCTCCTGGGTATATACCTAGGAGTGGAATTCTGAGTTGTATGATAACTCTGTGGTTAATCATTTGAGAAACTAATAAACTGTTTCCACTATGGCGTTCACATTCCCACGAGCGATGTCTGAGGGGTGTCCATGGTGTTTTACCAATTTTCAAATCCCTTTCACAACTTCGATCTAATTTAATGTTCACAAGACTCCTGCAAGGAACTATAGTCATTTTTTTTATAGATAAAAAGACTGTCCTGGTGAGGATTCTTTCACAAGTAAGAGAAACTACACAAAGCGACTCACGCAGAAAAGGCAGTGTATGAGCTTATGTAGACAGGAAGTGCACAGATGATTGCTGCAGGTATGGCTGGATCAAGCGTCTCAAGTGAAACTCTTGTCTGTTTTCTGTCTTCTCTTAGTTTTACTTCACTCTGCAGTCCTTTCCTGAAGCAGACAAGATTTCTCTGCCTGCTAGGAAGATGTAGCCAGCAGACCCAAACTTACACTTTATGGATTCTAAACAGAAAGAGACAGCCTTCCCTACTCGATCCAGCAGAAAAGCCCAGGGCTTTGGTTCATGCCCACTCCAGAACCAATCAGCACCTGGAGAATATGGTACTATAATTGGCCCAGTCTGTGGCACACGCCCAGCCCTGAGGAGTTGGGAAGAGAAGGGTGTTATGACTGACACCCGCAGCAAGATGGCATATCATAGGAGAAGAGTTCCCTAAAGGAAACAGATAAAGGGGGATGACAAAGTATGCCAGGCAGAAAAATCCACAGTTGCCAAGTCCACTTGAGAAATCTAAACTCAAAGTAGCAAAGGATGCACCCGAGATCCCACAGCACCTGCGTGGCAGAACTGGGATTCGAATCCCAATGGACTCACAACTCATCACCACATCACAGCTGGATGGGGGAAGCAGGTGTTTTAGGTCAGGACTGCATGAACATGGTTAGCCCAGAGACGTCCTGTGGGTGGGATCTGCTGAGCCTTGATCTTGGTCCCAATGCCGAGGGTCATTGACTGGGATTCCTACCGGGATCAAGCCCTGTACACAGACTATACCAAATCCAGGAAGTTATCTTCTGATTTCCATTTCTCAAGCCACAAGTATGTACAGTATTTCGCAGTAAAGATATCAAAGGGAAGGAGTATGGCCACAGTACAAACAGACACGCAGGATGGATGAGGAAACATCCTCTTGAAGAAAAACATCTCATTTGGAGACTACAAATTGCCTTAAAAGTCTGGAGGTAGCAGTCAACATCCTAGCTGAAAGGCCATTTCTGATGAGTGAAGCCCTTGACCATGGACCAGACAGGAAGAGTGACATCAGGAACAAACGTCACAGTGACAACAGTATGAAGAACAACTTGCCTTCAACTGAGTACTCAGTATGGACGAACTATAACTCCTGCATCATTTCCTTTAGCCTCCTGCGTGGCCCAGGGCATCGTCCAGGATCTTCTCCCCGGCCCTGGCTGGGCTGGGACGTCAGAGAGAAGTCATGAAGGTTAGGGTCTGCATGGAATGCACCAGGGTAAAGATGGGCTTACGGAGGGCTCTCTGGAGAGTCTCAAACAAAGACAAGGAGCAGAGAAAGGGATTCCCAACAGTGCACAGGGACCAGATGCAAGGGTGCCTTTGGGCC